GTAGATAGGCTATTCATTCAAGGTATCAAGTTCCAAGGGTGGGGGTTGGGGAACGGGTAGGTCTGCTTGCCTACATGCACTGATACACAATATAGTGGTAGGGCTAGCATCAAAATCTGTGACAACAAGCGATATGTTGGATGAGTGGCAACAAACAGTACACCATTGGTTAATGGGATCAGCTTCCAGCAATTCAGACAACAGATAAGAGTCTAGAGGATACTAGCTCCCACCGACATCCATCATGTAGGCAGCCAACAACTACAGCGACATGATGTCAAGAGTTGATGTATGGAATGTCAAAGGTAGGCCAGACATAGGCTGTCAGGTAGGCAAGCAGCTCAGAGTGCTGTCAGGTAGGCAAGCAGCTCAGAGTGCTGTGTAGTGCTGCCTGCCTCCATCACAAATTCATTTCGTAAATCAAACAGATTAAATGTTCAGGGACGCTGGACCCGATTTCCAGCAGGTGCTGCTCCCCACCAATAGATGGAGCCTCCCGGGGATTGCTAGTGGTGTCTGCTTTTATCAGCACCCCTAGCAATCTACTGGGTTGTTTTTGTTAGAAAAAAAAAAAGGTAGAAAACAGTCAAAAGGGAGAGAAAATAACTAACAGCTACCTAATTCCTGATTTCTGGCTAGCTGGAAACCGGGTCCAGCGTCCCATATTTGCAATTGAGAAACTGAAACTCCATTTTGAGTGATAAGCGCAACTATCTCAAGAAATGAGCCAGTTGTTGAATTGCAGTTCCCCTTCGGAGCTGAGCGAAACCAACTGTGATCTGTTTTCCCAGGTATTCCAGAACCATTTCACCTGGTGTATGTTGCAACCTCTTGCTGTTTTCCTTCTCCAGTCCGCGATGATCGTGTATCTGATCTGGGTCTTCATTTGTGAAATAATGTCCGGTAGTGTCTTGTGGTGGTTCCGGAATACCTTATCGTTGCGGTCCTCCCACAGGGCGCCCATAATGATGATGGCCTGTGCCACATAGCCCCAGCCAGAGTGAGGAAATAGACCTGTTGGGAGGATGCCATTCAGTGTCCATCCTTCGTCCCATGGCATTGTGTCTTTTGTAATGTTTTCCCAGTGTACTTTCCACCAGGGCCAGACCCTCAGCGAAAAGGGGCATGAGTACCAGAGACCCTCAGCGAAAGGAGGGCATGAGTACCAGAGATGACTTGAGGTCTCCCAGGCCCACTGACACCTAGAGCACGAGGTGTCAATGTTCATTCCTTTGGAATGGAGCCAGGTGGCCGAGGCAGTGACCAGCAGTGATTGAAGGTGGAGAGTGCTTGCAAGTTTTTGTGATGGTAAAGCAGTAAGTTGATCCCTTTCTTTTTTTCTTTTCTGCAGTGACCTGCAGTGCTAGTAGTACTGGTAGAAGCAGATACCACTAGCACCCGGGAGAGGCTCCATCTATTGGTGGGGAGCATCACCTGCTGGAAAACGGGTCCAGCGTCCCATATACAGAGTGAATCTGGAAGATCTGGAAAAATACCAGGAAGGAGGGTGAAGGGAAGCCTGCCAGCATTGATTACTCTGGGAGCCAGAGGATTGACTGTGCAGGTTTAAGAGAAGGTTTGAAGGGAAGGGGCCCCCAAGTACCCTGACCCGAAAGTTATTATCCAGTATCCCCGCCCACCAGCATACAAGGGAAGGCCTTTGAAAAACATTTCCTGGGGGACACCGGGAGAGCAGTATTGCAGAGACATCTCTTCAGCCCTGATCGAGCCGCCAGATTAAGCACTTCATCCTGATGTGATTGCATTGCCTACTCTATATTTGAAGGATTCCATCCTTTTCAGACTTGCAGAGACCCGAAGCTGTGGCAGAGTCTTTTGCTACCCCGGGGGGCATGGGGGGTGATTGGACAGTGGGTTTTTCAGAGAAGAGCCTAATATAGAAGGAAAGAGGGAATCTATTTTGGCCTGCTACTTTGTTGCCTGATGAAAGGAAGGTGAAAAGGGGACAAGTCTACTGAATTAAGGTGAGATCCCACTAGCAAGAGGATTCTATTAAATGCCAGAATCTTGATGTGTTTGTGGAAAGGTGCAGAATATCGCTATCCATCTGCTTTTCTGCATCTCTGCTTAAAACCCATCCAGATTCAGATGCTTGATTCAATCTTCTTTGCCAGTGGGATCTTGCCCTTATATCTCCCTTCCTTCATGCCCGCTCCAAACTTTTCTTTCCTTCCCGAAGCATTTTCCCCTAGCCCTTCAACAAAGGCTGCTTTCCCTTGTCCTGGGGTGAGGTCCCACTAGCAAGGAGGATTGGATTAAGCGCCTGAATCTGGATGGGTTTTAGACAGAAATCCGTAAACACAAACACATCCACATTCGGCCGTTCAATCCAATCCTATTTGCTAGTGAGACCTTGTCCCTGGAGAAAGACATTTGAAACAGATGAAGATCTGATCTTTACTTGGGGGAAGTCATCAACGTTGTCAACAATGAATCAACGCTCTATAACAGACCGGTGTGCATTCTGATGGGGCTAGCCTCCTTCCTTTCAAAGCATGAAAAAGAACAGATAACAGATCAAGATCAATCCGATGATCATCTGCGCAGGAAGGTGAATGGAGTCGGAGGAAGGGGAAATCAAATCATATTGCCAGAACAAAAATGATGACCCACAATGTCCTTTTCTTTTTCTGTTTATTCTTTTTCTCTGTTTGGTGGTCATTGTTTTATAGGTTGCCAATATAACTGCAGTTGCTCCAATGGCCGGGAACTCTCTGTGGGGCCATGCAGAGCAAGTAATTAGCAGGTTTGTCAAGGCTTTTCAAAATGTCCCAGTTTCCATGTTTTTCCCAAAATGTCAAAAGAGCCTGTGACGAGAGGCTACGTCCTCCACGCCGCGATCTGGCCATGCAGAACGCAGGCGCTCCCTCTCCTAAATCTCCTTTCTAAGTCCTTGCAATTCCGTGTTCTTCGCGCATGCATGCACGCTATAAATTCTGACTGCGCGATTAGATAGCTCTCTTAACCAGTTGTTGGAAGCTCGGGGAGCGCGATCAGTGAGGGTCGGCTCGCGAGCGAAGTAAGAGGTGAGTTAAAGTGGGAGTCGGGCGGCCCAACGAGCTGGTGCCGAACGCGCGGGGTTGACGCGGGCCACAACGGACTATGGGCGCGGGCGAATCTGATGGGTGCGGGAGGACTAAGCGGGGTGACGACTTCGCGGGTTGGTGCATGACGACGGACTGTCCGCATCGGAGAGAGAGAGAGAGAGGGAGCTAAGGTTGATGGACGTGGATTTGCAGTTTTCTTTGTCTTCTCTCCCTCCTTGCTTTTGTATATAAATTTTGATCTCGGCTCAGGGCGATTCGCCCGTCTCCTTTTGTTTTCGGAATCTCGGCTTGGTTTCCGCCCACACTCGTTTTGCGGTTGATCTCGATTTCGTTTGTTGCGTGTTTTGTCGAATGAATGGATGAATGAATGTCATGTCTGTTGCGTGTCTTTTTGCCTGATCCTTGCCTTTGACTTGTCGTTTTGATACACTCATGAGCATAGTAGGAATTGTTTTTGCGTAGTCGTCAATATTTCTTCCATTGCTGTTTATCCCCTTTTGAGCTACTGTTGTTGCTGCACCTTGCATGCTCAGGAACGAGAGCGTACGGGATCACAGAGTAATTAGGTGATTGGGTAGTGTTTGTCTAGAGACAAGCGAGTACCTCGCGGGGATTCGTGTAAGCGCGATCTGATCTGCGCAGCCTATACGCATCCACACGCGCCGATTCGCGGCCATTGACGAACTTGACACCTTCGATATCGGGTAGGTGGGAACTTCCCCTTCCCCCACGCGCCTAAACGGATAGGAGTTTCCGATATCACATCGAAAAATCCCCTTGCCGATTAGACGCGTGCGGGAGGATTCCATCACACTGCAATGATAAGATGCCGAACTCTTGGGATTCGGAGTACTTCGACCCTTGGGTGAGAGAATGTATTAGGCAGAGATACCCGGAATTCCGCTGCCTAACCGAGAATCGATTGTGCCCCAGGGAGTTTCACTTCGCCACAACCAGCGATCCGAGGTGCCCCGATTATCCAACTACAGATAACTCGCACTACTTCATATCCCCCGGTTTCGTCGTTATCACTACCCGTGTCCCTCCCTTCCGTCTCCTCCTCCCGTATCACCAACTCACGGTAGTCCCGTGGAATTCCATCGCCCCATACTGGCCCCGCACGCCCTGCGGAAATTGTCGGCGACGCGGCAACCGACGAGCCCCTGAAACCAGGGGGCCTAACCCAAACGCGCGATGGCAGACGCCACATAGCTGCCCCCAAAGGCCCGACTCATCAGAATCATAGCCATCTCGGGCAGACCTTCCCCCGAACCGCCGCCCCCAAAACAGACGGATCGGACGACCTTGAATACACCACGCATGCCATCTGCCTTATGCTGCACGACATAGAACGCCAACAGACCGGAAGTAACTCCCCCTACGCCCTATTGCATCTATGCCCCTGAAACTTTGCCACAGGAGATCTCAGTTCCGACCTGGGACTCCACCCCCACTTTCCCAAAAATCCTTGGCACACCCCTTTTCGCACTTCCAGGCCCATATCCCACTTCGATCAGGAAGTCGCGCTGGGCGTGAGGTTGGTATCGGAGCCCGACACGTGGCAGGGTTCTAGGATTCATAGATGGGAGATCTGGCTACCAGGGGACGACCTCGACCCTGCAACGCGCATCGACACGATCCCGTCGTCACCAGAAGCCGGTCTGCGGCTCGACGGACGGTCAACCCCAACAAAACCCAAATCCCCAGCAGAATCCTAATCAACCCGCACCACGAGCACGGACTCCCATGACGCCCCTTGACCTCTATCTGTTTGATCCTACGCATCATCTTGCTGGAGCATGGCTAGCTACGCTCCGCGCTCAGCAGTACGACGACAATGAAGCTCAGGTGAACATCCCCGCTCGATTAGGGGGGGACGCTCATCATTGGTTTAGTACCTATGTATGGGTGGATCTCCCGACCTTCGAGCGAGATTTTTTGAATAGGTTTGATTACATCCATCAGGAACAAGCACTCTTCATGATTAAAGATCGAGTTTAGAGACCCCTCGAGTCTGTCCTGGAATATCGAAACTGGTTTTACCGAATGTTTGTGAAAACAAAGCGAGGTGAGCAAGTAGGAAGAGATTTGTTCATCGACGGACTTCGCAGCAAAACGATGAGGGCGAAACTGAGAAAACAGTTCTCCCCCATCAATCACACGATGCAGCAGATTATGGCCGTTGCAGAAGAAATGGAGCGAAAGTTTGCTGCGAGTTTCCTCGAAGGGGAAAATTACCCTAGGGAAGGAGACTCGTATGAATTAGCCAGGGCTAAGGCTGAGCTGGCCGCATTGCAAAACAAGTTTGAAAACATTGGGTTTGTATCCGGACCGGTCACCTATTCAGAACAGATTACCCCTAAACGGTCAGTCCCAAATGTGATTGCCAACGTACCCGCTCCCGTGATGACAGTGCCCCCACCCCCGATCGAAACCCCCTCACGACCGAATGAGTCTTCCGCCTTGCTCGAACTAACCAAAACATTGGTTAATTTGATTCAGGAAAGTAAAAAGGAGCAACGGGAACACAATGCTCGAATCGAGGCGATGATGAGATCGATGCGACCCATCGCAGTGCGTGCCACGCCGATCCAGCACGGATTGGCTCCAACACCACCGCCAACAGGGATCCCGGGCAATCTGAATGTCTGTTACACATGTCACCAACCAGGGCACATAGCCCAGGATTGCCCGCATCGGCCCCCGCAACAACGAGTCGGAGCCGCACCGGTAGCTGCAACACCGATCGCTAACGGGCCAGGACGGGTAGGAGCTTTGATGGAAGAAGCAGAGGGAAGCGGAACCACGTTAGCAACAATGGAGGAAGCCGCGGAGCTTATTCCATTAGATCAGTATGTAACATTGGGATATTCGGGGCTTGGGATGATTGGTACGATTAGACCCGCGCCTGAACAACGAGAAGTGGCGGAGTGGTGACCTTCTCCAAGAGAGAGGGAGTCGGGAGGACCCACTTTCGTCATGGGGGAAATCGATGTTCTAAACATTGTACGAGCATTAGATCACTGAATCCCCCTTCCTATCGGTCATCTGCTTTCGATATCAGAACAGGCCAACGAACGTATGCTGCAGCACTGCAAAGCAAATCGGAAACAGTTTGCTCTTACCCGAGCAGCAAACACAAAAACGAAAGGACCAACACCAGACGAAAATGCCGCAGGTATTTCCGATCCCATACCCATAGGACTAATCCAAAAAGATAATCACTTCCTGCGGATTAAACCCATCCCATGGAAATCCGCGGAATGCGACATCGAGGTATGGGGAATTTCATATAATGCTATCATCGATTTGGGAGCCGCTGTGTTAGCTATCTCCTTGTGGGTAGTGGAGAGAGCAGGAAGAAAGAACGATCTGATCATGCTTACAGAAAAGGATCAGCTCGTCTCAGCAGACGAAGAGAAGATCAAAACGGTGGGGCGAATGGCTAACGTTGCCTTTCGATTAGGGAAGGTACATGCATTGGGAGACGTCGTGGTTCTATATGATAATACTTACGACGTGCTTTTTGGCCTTCCCGTCCTGGTAGCACTACGCGCCAATCTGGACTTTGAAAGATGATCGATTGTCCTCCGAAATCGAAAACCCTATGTTGTGCCGATGAGACTGACTCTTCGTACTACCGCTAAGTTGCGCTAACATAGCCCCGCGAGTTTCTCCCGCAATGACGGGGACTCTTCGCGTGATTACCTGGGACAACGGGCAGGCATCCAAAGACGCGGACAACAGTGATGATGACGATCCAGTAATCCTGGAGATGGCGCAACAACGTATTCACTATCCCACGACACAGACAAATGTAAAAGTCTTGAGCCGGACTAGCCAAGATTTGCAGAGAACACACGCAATGATTACGGGGGAACCTCTCGTACAAATTTCAAGGATGGTCGATTCTTTGGAACCCCCTCGAACCCTGTACGAAGGGATCTCCCCTCTTCTCGCCCGATACAATGACAAAAGGCACTACTGCGATATCACGAGTCTCCCGAAATCCCTTTTGACACCTGCAAAAGAGATTCGATTGTTACGCTTAGGGGCAGATACCAACTCTTTGGAACCCCCTAAGCGCCTCGAAAACGGACTCGGGATCAAGATCGCAACGAAACCTATGTCGTGGCAAGACATTCGAGACGGAGTAACACCGGAGGAACACGTGGTCATTCGAGAACAAGATGCACAGATGATGGTCACGGTGTTTTCCTGGCGATCTGGTAACTCATTCATCTCCGTGCCCCCGCCAGAAAACACCAAGCGGATGAATACAAAACACATCGATGTAAGGATATGGGATGAGTTGTATGAGTTGCACGTACCCCGATACGTACCTGAGGAGATCCACCACAAATCGCATACATTCTAAAGGAATACAAAGGAGCGATTAGTGTGACGGACACAAACATTGGACTGTCGTTAGTTATACAACACGAGATCCAGACAGGAAACCATTCCCCAATTCACTGCAAACCTTACAGATATTCCCTGGTAGAACGGAAAAAGGCTCTCGAGCGGATTCGATAATTTGAAGCAAGCGGTTGGATCGAACCCGCCACCGGACCATGGTCTTTTCCGGTAGTATTGGTATCGAAAAAAGACGGATCGATATCAAAGATGTGTATCCCCTCCCCCGGATTGATGATTTGCTGGATGCGATTAGGTGTGCTAATTACTTCAGTAAGTTTGATATTCAACACGACTTCCATCACATTTTGGTCAAGGAGGAAGATCGGCCGAAGACGGCCTTCGTACTGTTTGAAGGCACGTGGCAATGGGTTCGGTGCCCGATGGCCCGATGGGTATTTGCAACGCGCCTGCCATGTTTCAGCGGGCGATGAACGTGACGTTTCACAACTTCGTCAACAAGACGCAACTCACTCAGGGGATGATTAACTTCTGCGTCATTGTGTACATGGACGACATCATCGTCTACTCAGAGACCTATCACGGACATGCACAACACATCGAGTGGACGTTAGGAGCTCTGAGAGATGCTGGGTTCAAGATCGCGCTCGAAAAGAGCGAGTTTTTCCTTTCGGAAACTTCGTTCTTGGGCTACGTCGTGACACGTGGAGGATTGCAGCCTGACTCAAGAAAGGTCGCGGCGGTGAAGGAAGCTCCTGTCCCCACGTCACTGACGCAGGTTCGAGCCTTCTTGGGCTTAGCCTCGTACTATCGTCGTTTTATCAAAGGTTTCACCGTGATTGCACGACCTTTAACGAACCAGTTACGAAAGGACCAGCCCCTTAGTTGGGACGCAGAGTGCAAACGGGCCTTCGCGACCTTCAAGGACGCTCTGGCGACGACACCTATTTTGATCTGGCCGGATCCCGCGAAGCAGTTCATTCTCATGACGGAGTGGCGGTCGGAGGCTATTTCTGCTATCTTAGCGCAGAAGGGGAACGACGACCGCGAACACGTCATCAAATATGCGTCACGAACGGTGCCAGACGAGCGGAGAAATGCCTCAGCCCCACAAGGCGAATGCTACGCGGTAGTGTGGGGAATCCAACACTTCCATCCGTATCTGTACGGACAAAGGTTTCTCCTTGTCACCGATCACGAGCCCTTGCTAGCGCTGAAGTGACTCACTAATTACACGGTCATGATTGGACGTTGGGTGGTGCGCCTACATGAATACGACTTCGACATCATCCATCGAAAGACGGAGAGGCACGATAACGCGGACGGGCTGACACGTCTGCATCGACCAGCTAAAGTGCCTAAGGCAGAAGAGATCATCCCGTGGAACAAACCGGAATCGGCGAACGGATCCAAGTACGGACAAGTGGCAGTCCTTCCACGTCGCAAGAAGCAGGCAGGTGGCCATGGGTGACGGAGGTAACCCTACCACTCCCCTTTCTCCCCTCTCCTCCTCATCTCTCCTCTCCCTGCCTGATAAATTTTGTTATTTTTTGCGAAGCAATTTCTCGCGTATACAAGGTCTTTATGCGCGCTAGTGGGGAAGGACATGCGGAATGGATAGACTGTCGACAGTGTGTCGCATGAACTCATGGCTCGTGCATCCAATACCGAAATGGCAGTAAGACTTGGTTGTGCCCCTTGTGTCGGGTTGATAAGATCCCGACCGAGGCTCGCTTTTTAGATGCCACATCAGAAGGGTTAGAAAAGACCCGGAAGTTCAGAAGGGCCGAAGTATGGACGAATATCGCCTTGATTGCCACCCTAGTAGGTAACCTCCTCCAAGACTTCGCCAAGGAAGATCGGAGGAGGGTCAATGAAAGGGTTTGGGACTACCGCTGGAATGAGGGACGATTGGAAAAACGGAAAATGGATAGTAGTGGGATTTGGATGGTAGTGCCGCACCCGTTCATGAGGTATGATTGGGTAAAGAGAACGCAAGAGGAAACGGCTGCCCATTTTGCCGTACGGATTACGGAGGCGGCAATCAACAAAAATGAGTGGTATTGGTCCAATATTTGCGACGATGTAAAGTTCATCGTCGAGAACTGTCAGGTCTGCTCTGCGGACAAGGCGACGATTTAGCCGCCAAGATCGATAGTACCGACTGTAGTTAAACGACTTTTTCAAAGGGTTAGCATGGATACTACCGATATTGTGGTGCCCCCTGGACCCAATAGCTGTGAATATTCAATCCTACTCGTATTCGTGGACCATTTTTCAAAATGGATCGAGGCGTATCCCTGTCGTACGCGACAGGCGGCCGAAATTGCATGATACGTCAATCGATTTTTAGGGATGCACCAGGACACGGAGGAAATTTTGACCGATAATGGGGTAGAATTCAGAGGAGAAGTCTTGAGGAATCTAGTTGTACATGGCGTCGCGATTCGAAACATTGCGCCCCACATGTTGCAATCTAACGACCTGGTAGAAAACGCAAATCGAGTGATAAAGACTGCGCTACGACGAAATATCGCGGCACGGGATCCGAGGCCCTGGTCCGATATCGTAGATCACATCTTGGCGGTCCATCGCGGAATGCCTCACGAATCGACGGGCCTAAGCCCGTTCCAATTACGGACCAATAGTGTGGGTTGCGCTTCGATACCGAGCCTCCCGGATGAGTCTTCTTTAACCCGACGGCCTACGAGAGCCACGGTTCGGGACAAGACCAAGCGACATATGGAAATGATGGAAAGGTCCCTGCCCCGATTAGCCTGAAAACGCCAGAAAATAACCCAGTTGGCCCACGACCGACAGGTTCGCAGTTACGAGGCTCGGAACGGGAACGCGGGTCCGCGGCCATAGTATAAATTGGGGGACTTGGTGCAGGTGAGGAAATGTGCTCGCCAAGGGAAGATAGCGCCACGATTCTTCGCACGATTTCGCGTGATCGAGCTCGGCCTGAACGGGGTGCGCCTCGTGCCAGAGGTCTCAGGGAGCCGATCGTACTCCAGGTGTCCTATCTACATCCCCTCCCTTCCTCCCCATCTCCAGCAGCGTCATCCTCCTCCTCCTTCGCTACGAAGGAAGACGACGAATCTCCATCGCTTTCTTCCTCCCCTGCATCTCTCGCCTTTTCCTGCATTCCGTATCCGCCACCATCGCCATGAGTTTTCTCACAGAGCGAGCTCTCGGCGATCATCTGCTAGCGCCACGTGGTTACATCTTGGCAATCCGGCAAGTTCATCATCCGTGCTTCAGTCTGGATCTTCTACGGCTTGCGCAGTTCTTCTATACCACAAGGGTATACGCGGCAGCAGAGTTCCGATCCGCGAGTAATCGTCAGGCAGTTGTGTTGGCGGAAGCGGTAGCTGTCCATCGGCGGTCAGCCCCAGGGACTAGCCACGTGTCCACCGTCGTCTCCTTCAGCGGCGATATCAGCGCGATCAGCCCACTGCGGCATACAGCGATCCGGACGTTACTAAGAGAGTGGGGTCAGCAGTTGGCCGCGGAGTGGAACCACTGGCTCATGCGCCCCGGGGACAATCTTGTCCCTACGGACGACATCAAACTTGGTGGGATTCGAGCGTCCCAGCACGAGCCGGCGGTGGCGCTTCCGCAGCTCATCCCCTTTCAACATCCCCAATGAAACGCTCCTAACTTTCCACCTTCGCTCTCCCATCTCTCTTTCCCACCTTCTGGCAGTCTAGTCTTCACCCTCGTTTCTCCTTCTGTCTGGAACCGCTCGCTGTCCCCCTTCTCGATCCAAGGCAGTGGGGGCTGTGGTGTGAACATTTTGTCGATCTTTCGGTCTGCCTGGTCGGGGTACGACTCACGTGGACAAGGGACGAGGAGCACCGCGCTTGGATTGAGTACTTGGAGCTACTGATCATCCAGGCCTGGCGGACGGAGGTGAACGGCGATCTTCTTGGGTTCCTGTTCGGATCGGTGAGGCCCGACCATCGCCAACTGATCGTGCAGGAACTCACGGTTCCTCTCGCGTAGTTGGTTGACGATCTTCCCCTTGATATTGTCTCGCAGAGCGACGAGAGCCCGGTCCCGCACGTCCTCACACGAACTCCTATGAAACACCCGCGGATGCGTCCACGGGTCCGATCTCGGATGGCGGACGCAGATGAGGCCGCGTCCACGGCCGACCTGATCCGCGCCACGGACCCGATTTTACCAGAATTATCCTGAATTAAATAA